TCAGAATCATACAGACTTGTATACAAGCAGTAGTGGTCATACAGCTTCTCCACCATGGCATACACTCCTAATGATATCAGACTTTTGGATGCGATGATCGCACGCGCAGCCCGACGCTGCTACCGCTTGCCCACCAGTTTTCCCACACGCGCCGTGCTGCTACCGGTGGAACAATATGGACTCGGCGTTGGGTCCCTGCTACCGATCTATGTGCGCATGGCAGCTCGCGCGCTGGTCCTCTCCCTGAATGATGAAGGCCGGCTAGGCGTCGTGACACGAGCCATGCTTGAGCTGCAGTGTCGTCTTGCGGCCGACACTAGGATGCACACGTTGAAACGCGAGAGCAGTTTCTACACGACCCTGAAACAGCTGACCCTGGCGCGAGACCATGGCATCGCGGTCACCGACAAAGGGATGCCGTATAACACATCCCTAAACACTCTCATGACGGCCGCCTCCACCGTCAACGCGCGGCAGGACACAAAGTCCGAAACCCTGCCGTACAGATGCTTGCTCCCCTTGACAGAGCTGGGCCTAGACATGCACGCGCTCATAGACAAGAACACAACACAACACCTCATCACCACCACTGACCTTCAGAAGCTTTTCCCCCGGGGCAAGGTGCAGCACCGGCACAAGATCGCCTTGAATCGACTAAGCCTAGCGATAAGTGCCCAATGCCCCCAAGCTCCACACACGAAGGCACATGACCCACGTCGCTGGTCGTCCGCGCTGCCTCTGGAAGACAGACGCCTCCGCGAGATCCCCAGTGACCCTCCGTACACCGGCCTCCGGCACAAATCAAGTCTCCCCAACCCGATACTAGCACCATCCCTCGACCCACATGTACGCCGTGACACACCTGTCATGTGGAGCACGACCACGAAGAAGCCACACCATCCCCGCGCAGAGCCAGACGACATGGAGAGTGACCCACCAGCGCCGCCGAGCCACCCTGCGGAACCAGCCTGCACAGGACGGAAACGCACAAGATCTGTCCACCAGCAGCAACAGGATTTCATCAACAACAATACACGCTGTGACAACAGTAACGTGGGAACAGATAGTGCAGCTATACATGGTGTGCAACTCCGCGACCCAGCCCCGCAATGCACATCCTATATGGAAACGAGACGCGTCATGGCAGCTCTGCGAAAAGACACCCGTAGGAGTGTGCCCAACCTAGGGAACCCCCCTGGGCCTATCGTCCAGGGACCGCGACCGCGCCCAAGCCGGCAAACCCGTCGCACTCTAAGCATCGGCATGACCCCCGTGACAGGAGAAATCGGTACCCCAAACCCAGTGCTGGTGTACCTTGCAGAAAAGGGACTCGACTGTACGCCAGTAGCGCCACGTAACCCCCGCGCCGGCACAGGCGCGGGGGCGGCAAGGGCCGGTCCGAACACCGCCGACAGGGACCACGCCGGTGATCCGCCTGCGCCCGAACCGGCCAGAGCGCTACCGGGGGCACCGAAGCCACCAGAGCACCTCACCCCGCAATGGTGGAGACCTCGATGGAAAGTCGCCCGCGATCAAATACTGGAGGACAGGATACCCTGGAAGCCTGGAAAAGGCCAGGCAAAGGACACAACGGGGCAGCAACAGATAGTTTATGACCTATACAACGATGTAGAGGACATCGTAGAAGTACTCGCGGGCCCTATCACAAAACGCATCGTCCCCTCAAACGTTAAACCCCCCAAGAAACAGAAAATCGGGGCTGATACGACCGCAACCCACGAACAGTACTACACGGTTCGCTGGAAAGACACTATCACCCCGATATCTATCGTCGGCGCATACGCCAGCATGGGATACGTGCCCAGACAGCTATTACCAGTGACAGGTCTTTACGGCACGCGGATTGACCGTCACTTCCGCAGAGCGGTATGGGAACCGTCAGATATCCCCGCCGCGCAACTCGGTAGGTTACCCAACGGACCAGCGGCGATGGCGAGGTACGAGCAAACGAGGTCGCAAAGCGTGAACCCCCTCTCGAGATACCCCAAACCCAAGGACAGCAATCTAACGAACCCTCAGAGGCAAGGCCGATGGAACCCGCCCCCCTCGGAGCAGACCCAGCGGGCACGCCTTATTCGAGCAAACACTACCTTTGAGACTGCACCGTGCAACCCATACATGGACACGCGCCCCACGGGAAACTATCGAATCCAGCTAGGTCTGCTAACCAGAGAGGGTGGCTCGACCGAAGGGAACACGGCCTTCGTCTACGACCCGAGAGGGAAATGCGTGGGCACCCTCACCCTGCAACGCCTGGAGACCCTCAGAATGCGATATCAACACACGATCGACACTTACCCGGAGGTGCACAGAAGCCTGTCCTCCCAGGGCGGCTTCGCCGAGGACGTCGCGCGCCTTCTCCTGCGGTACAGAAAGGACCCCGACGGGCGCGAATCGAAAGGCCCGCCACGGTCGCAGGCGACCATGAGCAGAAAACTGCGCTGTACGCTGATTGATGCCCTGCACGCCCTGGATGCCGGCCCAGTCGTCGAAAGGTTCTCATCCCCGCTTAACTGCGGTGAAGAGGTGCAATACTACTTCAGTGTCCACGCAGAAGACCAACTCTTCGGGGCAAACATAGATGCATTCTCTCAGCCACTATCCAGGCCTCTCGATAGCACACCCGAACCCTGACCCCACCAGTGTCAAGAAGGCAGTAATGTGGGCAGTCGCAGGCGCATCACACACAATGACATCCGCACTGCCCACCGCCACACTACTCATTGTCCCGCACAGCCGAACTGGCCCCCACACGCAGCTACACAACACACCGTATGTCTTCCAGCTCGCGCGGCTGAGCCGCGGTGAAGCGTGCAAGCTTACCAGCGGGACTGGAACTGACGGCCCCACCCCTGACTACAAGGGGGGCCTGGACCTCGTCGTGGTGGCCAACGACACGGCGATCCGAGGACTAAACGCCCGATCCATGAAGGCACTCCTATCCGAACTCGAAGCGATGGACGCCACCGGCCTCCCCAGAAAACATCTGCGACTGCGGGACATGTCCGCGGGTACTCACTGCGTCGGCACCCAACGACCCTACCCAAACAAAGTCGCTCAGGTCATGCGCAAGATGAATGCCTCAAAGCCGCCCAGACCAAGACCAACCGCCACAGTCCCCCACTCGGACGGACAGATGCTCCAGCAGCGCCTGACAGCAGCTTTTCCCGGACAAGTACCACTCAGGATGGACCCGCACACTATCATCTGGACCGACGGTAGCTGTATTAAATCGGCTGAAAACAACGGCCAGAACAAGTTGGGTGCGGCTGCATACTGTGGACCCACCGGAAAAACGCTGCACATCGACCCAGCGGGCGAAGGATGTACGAATACCATTCAACGGGCAGAGCTGGCAGCAATACGCGTAGCTCTATCAACCCAAAGGGCGGTGAACATCACCTTAACAATTGCCACTGACTCGCAAGCCTCACTGGGTCTTATCAAAAGAGCAGTAAACGATCCGAGTAAACTGCATATTTCCAAGCACAAAGCCTTACTAATGGACATAGCCGACCTACTGTACGAATGCGCCCAACAGAACATAACCGTTCACTTCCTGAAAGTGAAATCGCACACAGGCCTTGATGGTAATGACAAAGCTGACAAAGGAGCAACATCTGTCGCACGAGGTGAGAACCCAGCAACATTTACTGAAAAGGCCGACAATGCCCCGTTCGATAAAGTGTTCTGGCTGAAACAACGCGACACTGGTCTTTACGTTAGTGACCTGAACAAAGGCCTTTATAAGCGTCTCCAGCAAGGTACCTTCGCAGGCTATACCAACGACACAATACTAACTGAAAAATGGCGTAACACCGCCTCGAAGTTAGACCCCAAATCTAGCATTATGTCCTATAGCCTTCATGGCTTGCTGTACGGTTGCGTTCGGGGTGTCGGATAGGACAGGGCGAGGCGAAACCGGGGCTGCCAAGGGCCTTACACTACGTCTTCCAGCGACCGTGGGCCTTGCGGGCTTCTTCGGATACCCCTCTGGCTGCTGCAGCACTGTTTCCCCCGATGCGCATGGAGTGTGGCATGATGCCGCGCTTGATGCCCACAGCGCTGCACATGGCAGCGAGCTTCTCCCGGAAGGAAGTATAGCTGAGGCTGGGGATCGGTGACTGAACAGAGCCGGTCCTCTGCTGCAGCTGGTGGCCTTGCTGTGTCGCCTTAACCCTGCGCAGCAGTGGACCCACGTCCTCCACGGGGGAACTGGGGACACGGACATAGTTACCAAGCGCCAGCAGCCTCTCTGTCAAGCCCACTGGGCAGGCCACGCCCCCCACGCGCGCGATCCGGATGGTCTGCCCTTTGCCCTCCTGGTCCGTTTTGGACCTAGGCAGTGTGATGGCCATGTGAGTGTCGTGCAGGGTGAGCAGGTCAGACTTGACGGAGATGTGGGCTAGGTCG